TCCTATCTGCAAGGGTAGAGTAAGGAGGTGAGTGTTTTACTTGGTAGAGTTTAACTTTTGAAGTTTTTAAAACTTTGAGCCAAAACTCAATGAGACCACGGCAATGTTACTTAAACATAATGAAATGATGTAGTTTTGATGTGCTTGTTCTGAGATTCTTAGCTTTGGGCCATTAAAGTTCTTATTTAAAGATGTTTGTTAGTTACACGCATGGAAGATTACTTGAGAAGCCATTTCATCATATTGATGCCTTTCTTTCAGAAAACTATATTAGTTTTGACTTTTGCCATGAAGGTAGTCAGAATCTTTGTAATGCAAAATGTTTTTGAAATCTCTTGTGGGATCGTAAACTGTCTGCCCATCTCAGACTGATGGGTAGTTATTAAAAACTGTTCTCTTTTTAGTGGCCTTTAAGAAAGGGATGAAGGAAGGAATAGAAAGTCCTCGGTTGTAAGCAGAGTTACATTTTACGAGCTATCTTCTTGCCCTCTCATTTTAAATCTTCCCTGACAAGTTTAGTGCCAACAAACCTTGGAAACCAAGATTGACTCAGAATTGGGTGGTACATTAGCAGGGCCTTTAAAAAAGAGAATGACATTAAGCTTGTTTCTGTTTTGTTGTTGTTGTTATTCACACACATATACATATGGCCAGGTACACTTCAGTGTTGGTTTTGTGACTTCTGTGTAATAATTTCTCCTAGTGATAAAGCAAAAGCACAGATTGTCAGCCAACTCCCTGGTGACACTGGGGAAAGCAAGTTAGACAGTTGCCACCAAGCCTGCACTGAAGGACCAGGACAAGCCTGGACCCCAGGTGCTTGCAGCATCCCCTTCTCCTGCCACCATGCTGTGCCCCTTGAAGGGGCACTGAAGTTCCTTCTAGTGTGCTTTTGTAATAATTTGATGTTCAGCACACCATCCAAGATGGGCCACTTAGAGCTTAATTGCCTTTTAGAATGATTTGTGATATGTCTCCTTCACTCTTTTAACAGTGTTAATTTTATAAGCTAGTTTTATTATGTGCTCTTGTGATATGGGGAAAGCTGTTCTCTTTTAGAGTCTGGATTCCTCTTTCAAGTACCTTTTCTTTAAATAGGAGGAGGACTGGAGAGATGACTTAGCAGTTAAGAGCACTGGCTGCTCTTCCAGAGGACCTGGGTTTGATTCCCAGCACCCACACGGCAACCCACAATTGTCTTATAATTCCAGGTCCAGGGGATCTGACACCTTCTTCTACTTGCCAGCAGCACTGCCCACATGTGGGACACATACCAAATGAAAACAAAATACCTATGCACACAAAAAAAATAATTTTAAATTAAAAAAAATTTAAATAGTAGGAAATAACAATAAGAATTGAAATTGAGTATCATTTATTATTTAAAGCATCAATGGGATAATTAATGCTTTTCTACAAAACTCTTTTGTAATTTTCCTCTGGTTACATCCAGAGTTGAGACCCCAGAATTCCTGAGTTAATTATTTGATGACCATAGCAAAGGGGTAGAATATGTTGAACCACGTTGCAAACAGTGTACAGTCAGCGGGTGTCTTTTCACTGTGCCTCAGGCATTAAATCAGCCTTTGAGTTATTCATTCATCTATTAAATGGACATTTTGGAATCCAGCTCCTGTGTTGCTGGTGTGGTGGTATGGTGTGTGTGTGTGTGTGTGTGTGTGTGTGTGTGTGTGTGTGTGTGTGTTCGGCCCATGCTCTTCTTATGCTGATGTCTAGTGGGGTTGTCAAAACAACAAACAAGAAAGCAGGTAAGTAATTATAATATGTCAAGTGGTGGAGCAGAAGCATGCAAGGTAGTGAAAGAAGCACTGAAGGAAGATACGCAAGTTTGGGCGGGGCTGTTTGGAACAAGTCTCTTGAGAGGGATATTTAAACAAAGATGAGAATAAGCTGGGCTTGCAGCGAGCAGACACCATGAAGGTCAGCATCTGAGCTGGCAGGTCACCACTTCCCTACCCACTAAGTGAGAACGAAGCTACCTTTCTACCTACTAACCCAAACGAATTCTGTGCTGATGTCGACAAGTCTAAATGCAAAATGATGAGTGTGGACTGACTAGAAAACAAGAAGTGAAGGAAAATTGAAATCTCTCTACTTTCAGACAAAAGAGGAAATCATTAGGTGACATGAAAGCAGAAGAAAGTGTTTAGAGAGCCACACCACGTGTTTGCAAACGCTGCGTTGTGTGACAGAAGCTGTCAGACTTGGCACTCATGGAAGGCAGAGACCTTGGAGCTGAGAAATGACTTGAGCCTTAGAGAATGAGTGGATCTCATGAGCTCAAAGGAGGCAGTAAAATGAGAGAAACTCTGTTCAGATCCCGAACAGAATTTGAGACTATGAAGTCTCACAAGTGACAGCCAGAGCAACCTTTGAGGAAACAAAGATGATAGACAGGCCTGATCCATGGGAGTTATTAAAAAGATTAGTAGAACAGCCAAAATCATTATGGTTTCTTAAACAAAAATGATAAAATTATACAGCTTAATGGAAATGAGAAAAACTGATGGCTGAGGTAGGTAACTTTTGTTAATCATCCATTTTATTTTAGCTGATTGTGAGGGCATGGCCTATGCTAATCTTCAAGAGAGCTGTGCACAGGACACTTTAAAATTAACCATAGTCACCTTGTGGTGACTGAAGGTAATAGATCAAACTCCAAGTCCAACGGACTCCCTAAACATTATCACTGATGGAACTGGGGAAGTTTATCTGGGATATTCAATTATTAACTCAGTGTGGGACAGATTATGTTTCAGAAAGCAGCAAAGTTACGCAACTTGTAATGTCTTCTAAGGAGTCAATGGAAAGAGCTAAAGAAAAGAATGGGAAGAGCACAAAAATGTGATTAGGTAATGAGAACTGAGGACTTAGCTCTTGAGCTCATAATTGAGCCTTGGAGGTGAGGAAATATATTTCTGACCAAAACAGAATTATCTGAAGGAACAGCCTCAGACAGTAACTATGGTAAGGCCTTGAGGATATATGTCATCATGATCATCAAAACTACACTTATTTATGAGCGCTACTTTTTTCTAAGGCTCATAAATACAATAACTTGTTTACTTCTTTCCACAACTTTCCAAAAGCAAATCCTGCTGTTATCTGCATTTTCTCAGCAAGAAATCTTGGGCACAAAGAGATTAAGCAATTGGGCCAAGATGAATCAACTTAAAACAGTACAGCGGAGATTCAAACACAGGCATTGTGCCTTCAAAGCCTGAGCCTTTAGCTCACACACCATATGCTTATATCCAAGATGGTGTTTTAATTGCATAGTTTGACTTCTATCTTATGTAACTGTCTGAAAAAGAGTTAATTAACAGTTTTAAAAGTTGGGTAGAAACCAGAAAGTCCACACATGGCCGGGCAGTAGTAGCATAAATCCTTACTATAGAAGACAGCTGGAATTCTAAGGATAAAACAGAACAGGAAGAAAGAATGAAGTCATGGGTCTATTTTATTATTATTATTATTATCCTCTTCTTTCCATGCACTATTGTTGCAAGAAATTGTGTCTTTTGATGACAATTGATAATTTCTGGGGGAAATGACTCTATTTTTTACTTCTATATAATATATATGCCTCAGTTGATTGCCAGAGTTTCCATTTGAAACTCATTTCTTTCTAACTTTCATTATTAAATGAGATGTAGATTCTGAAAGAGTAGAGTTTCTGTGGTGGTCTCCATGTTAGCACGAATCACTGTCCTCTATGGAGCTCAACTCCTTGGATCTTTCTTTAGGGAGGCTCAGGTCCTGGAATAAGAATTGTGAGGAGCCATTCTATCTGGGGAAGACATAGAGGGTTTCCTTGACAAGCCCTGTGGCCAGTGCTCAGCCATTGTTGGAGGGAGGACCTGGTCATCATTCTCTGCTGTTCGTCCAGCCTTTTCCATGTTTGAGGAGAAAGTAGGAAGGGATGGTACTGCAGACTAAGTCACACAGTTTGAAGGTGAGGGGGCAAGGTGCCAGTTTGGTGCCATAGCTGCTACAAGGAAGGTGGGTAGCTACCCTTTCTTCAGTGGCTCTACCCTACTTTGATTTTTAACTACTGGCTAAACAGACGTCATATGAGCAGTCTACCTAAAGCACAATTCAGCCCAATTGAATTTGCTTCCTAACACTTCATTGTTTTAATTTAACAAAAACAATTCTTACTCTCACACACTCAAGATTATTCACGATTTTGACCTAGACTATGGACACCAACCTGTCTGCCTATATATTCATTTGATCACACAAGCTCTTTATCCTGTAGAGTCCTCATGCATCCATCTGTGCTAGACTGATCCCTTGGGGAAGGACCACATCCACTCCTGACACCTCTCCCCATTCTCTTTTTGGGTCATTGTTGTGGCCATTCAAATAAAGGCCATCTCCACAGTAGGGCTGGTCACACTGAACACCTATAAGATTTGGTCATGCCCCACTTTATTTTATCCACGTTTTAAGTATTTACATGGATCATCTTTCTACTACACCCTGGGTTAGGATATGTACCTAGTTTAATTTTTACATATTTCATTTAATATCATCAACAGTTAAAACTGCAAAGGCTTAGGTGATATATAAATTTTGTCTCTCTAAACCTTTTTTTTTTTTTTAATCTGTGTCCCACTAAGTAACTGTCTTCTACTAGTCAATCTAAGAAATGTTGTCCAAAACAGTGAATTCCTCTCCTGGTATGCATGTAGAAATTCCCTGGGTTGTCTATGGTGCTTCAAAATGCTTGCAACCGCTGGCTCAAACTGGAAATTGAGATTGAGGAAGTGAGACCTATGTGTCTGAATTATGCTACATTCACTCCCTCATGGTATAAGCAAGGTTGGGCATAAGAGCACCATAGTGCAGTGACCCCTGGATCAACTTTACTAGTTGCTGTTTCAGATTGAGTTGAAAAGTGCTATTATGAATAATAGTGGAGAGCATTGTGTTTTACTTGCAATAGCAGCTTACTTAATTGTTTAACTTTTCAGATATTTCGAAAGAAAGCAGTGGAACTTGGGGTAAAATTGCTACCCGCATTCCATACTCCCTCTGGAATACCTTGGGCATTGCTGAATATGAAAAGGTAAAAGTCTTCATTTTCAACAACATACTTTAAGGTGGAATATCTGAGATTGTGGCCTCCTGAGATGGTTGATTAAATGTGCGATGCTGACAGGGCACCTTAATTGAGTGTCTTAGATCTGTGTTGGAAGCTCTTAGCCCCGCAGTTTTGTCTGGCCTCAGATGGGCTCCTGCCATGAGCTAATATAGTCCTAACAGAATTGTGGAAAGCAGACTGGACCTGAAGTTTTCTCTGTTTTATAATGCTCTTATTTTAGTGATACTGTCCCACTCCATAAATACCAAAAGTATCTCATCTTTTTAGTTATCAGGAAAGCATTTCTCTTAAGCAAACCCTTGGGGTTGCTTACCCTGTTTAAATGATTGGAGAGGGAGATGGTGCAGAGAAATAACACTTAGACTAATCAGACCTTTAAAGAAAAAAGGGGGGGCTGATATATCTGAATCTGAGGCTGGCGGCAGCTGAGACTTCCAGGTCCACAGTCCATTGACAGATCAACCAGCCTATTTACATAGAGAAAACTGGCAAGCTAAAACCTTAAGATCCTCTCTCAATAAATAACAAACAAATAGCCAAAAACAAACCACCCAGATACTTTCTAGTGTTCTCCCAGGGAGTGAATTGAATTTTCATGGTAGTTTTACTGTTTTCGTCAATTGAATAATTTTGTTTTAAGCTTTCCTTCTTAACACTGTTACCCACAAGCTACTGATAGCACATGGGCTTTTTTTGGCTAACGATGTGAAGGCGATGATCACTGTTATGATCAACATAAAGTGTGATAGGTTCTTTATAGATGTTACACATATAATTCCGAGACAAGTCCAAAATAGTCATTCCTATTGATTCTCCATTGTGTTCATAAGGAATTAGAGTCACAGAGAGATTAGGAATCTCTCAGGCCAGATGTTAAGTAAATGGCAGTGCTATGGTATGTACCAAGATGTATATGTGCACAGTGATACATGTCCTTACCTTAAAAACACTACAGAGAGTAACAGAGGGGTCTGACAAAACTAGAAAGCACAGTTATTTATTTTGCTGATATCTTATTCCCAAGTTAGTCATGAAAAATCATAGAAATTAATCATCATTTGATTGTTTCCTTTTTTTCCTTTAGTGAAAAAAAAAATCTTCAAAACTTTGTATTTTCTTTTCATGTCTAAATTACCTTTATAAACCTTGAAATTACGTCTAAACTGTTGATAAGTGAATCTGTGTTTCTGTGTATGGAGTAGGTTGGGTATATTGAGGCAGAAAGGGAAAGTCAGCCTATAGGCCTGTATTAATTGAGCTACTTTTTCTACCAAACACTGTGAAATCTCAGCATTTGTTTACCCAACAAGGGTTCCTGAGCCCTTATCTGTGAGCTTCCTTTATCTTTCCATGTTCTACAGGATCTACAGGCAGGCTGCCTCTGAGCTTAGCCTGCACTAGCTTGATTAATTAATTAATTTTGATGTCTTTTGTATTTGGCTCATGTAGACTGTCTCTACTACCTCCCATATCCTCAGATTTGGTGTTTATAAGAAACCTTCAGTAAGATCTGGTCCCAAAAACACTGTACGATTAGCTCATTTCTCCTCCCCCTGCCCTCCGAGCTGATATGAGCATTATGATTTAACAGCTGCTTACCAAGAGACCTATTTCTACATTTTCTCCAGCTTCTTTGAGGTGTTGTGTGGAGCCATCTCTTTAAATTTTGCAAGCTTGTTTATAAACTGCAAAGTGGGCTAGCTCAGGAGTTCTTTGGTGATCCTTCCCAGGTTCACAGACGAAGACTTTGATCAACCTGGACCTCTCCTGGGAAAATGTGTATTCCTTAGAGAAACTGATATATCCAGTTTCCAAAACTCTAATGTGCCGTTCAGTTCCACCTAGCACCTGCAGGCTTATGTTTAAAGAACCAAGAGAAGAGAAGGGCTCTAAATGTTAATTCCATGATTCATTGGAGCCACTACAGGTGACTTTCTGCAGTTGAACAAAGACTTCTTAACAGTAGGGGGAAAATGGGCCTACTTCTTTGCATATGTTGAGTGTTGTAGGTGGCAATTAATATTTACTATTGGTTTATCTTTTATTAAAGCTGCTGTTAGTCCTAAACAGCTGTATACCCAAATCACCACACAGACACTAGGATTCATTTATTTAACCTAGAACACAATGCTGGGCAATAGTTGTTCTATCCTAAACCTCCAAGACCATGTAGTTTCCTAACATTTAGATTTCCCACATTATACTTGCTTTTTGTGATATATTAGGTCCAGTCCATCTCTCCACATCATTCCAAGATCTCTGCTCCTGCCTCTGTTCTCCCAGCTAGCTCTCTCCTGCCCTTCTCTCCTCCTCTACCTCCCACCTTTCTGTCCTCTGGCTCCTCCTTCTCTTCCTGCTTCCTTTTCATTGCTCAACATTGTGGCTAGTTGCTTTATTTTGGCATGTTTACACAAAGTTGAGACAGGTGATACATAGAATAAGTATCACAATGCAATGTCTGGATTGAAACCAGAGAGTGGGGGAGAGAAATCAGCATTTGAATGAACAAGGGTAAAGTGTATACGTTCCAAAAGAACATTATACCAACATTTCCTCCTTTAAGTCCAATAAAAGGCTCCTTTTCTTTCAATACAATGATAATTAAGAAAACTGTTAGGTAAAATTTACATGTGCAATATCCATGTGTATTTTAGCAATTTAGGAGAAAGTATCTGATTATCCTATCTATCTTGACAAGTTTAAAGTTCTATACCTAAATTAACTTTTATCCTTGTTGGTATTACCTATATGAAAGGATTTCTTAACCTCTAAACAAGTTAAGCTTAATTGTGGCACTATTACTATTTAGTCTTCAACCCCATCAGAGATTTGAGAAGGAATAAAATTAGTTATTAGAGCAAATAAGAAGTGCATGTTAGCAGCTTCCAAAAAATAAAAAATTGACAGAAAGAGTTTGCTGCCTGAACAGTCACCCATCACTCTCTATAACATTGGAGCATCATCTTCAGCCTTCTGGCTCAGATTTTTTGACAGACATATATGTGAAGCAGGAACTATTTAGGACTTGCTTACCCTGTCTTGGCAGAGTTCAGCAGTGAACTTGTCCTATATGTAAGTTTGCCCAATTTTGGCAGAATCGGCCTGTCGTAAAGCAAGGGTATTTTCTTTACCCAAGTGGCTCCTTTGCCACATTTGAGGCCATCTCCATATGGAGTTTCTTCACTGCTCATTATCTTCTTTCAGGTAAGCAGGGTGCTTCGAGGAGATGATTCGTCTCATTGTCAAAGAATTGTTACAATAATAAAGATACTTTTAAAGATACTTTGTAGGTCTTTGAAGTTTTTGAAGACTATGTATCTTTATATAATAGATCTGTCTACAAAAATCATATCTATATGTTAAACTAGGATGTATATTCCTGTGATAAATTAGACTACTGTCTGACATGACTATGAGTTGAATAACTAGCAATTAACTTGTATTACCTAATATCCTAACCAGTTTTTAATAGCAGTTTAAAAGTATTGGAAGTAACCTTGACTTTCTAACAGTATACTAAAGCTTATACCAATGTATCAAAAATACTTATTTTTGCATCAATATGCAAAATCCTATACCAGAGTTAAAATTAACATTATTTGAGAACAAATAAAATCCTAAGCAGAGTAGATGTCCCTGTATATTCCTTTTTTCACTCTGAATAAGACCATTAATAATTTATAAACATCTCCCAATGACAATAAAAATTCATAGCAATAGAAAACAACCAAAAACATACCCAACCCCCTTTAAGGAAAAATGGACAACATTCTCAAGGATTTCTTCTAGCTGACATTTTGGACACGTAGAAATCCTGTTAGGGAGCCCAAAGAAAATTGGGGAAAATTGGTTAATTAAGCAAGCAATAACATTTGTGGTACAGTCTTTGAATGTTGAGAAATTTCAGGCTTAATAAAAGTCCTCTTTGGAACAATCTAAAATGCTGGACCAATTAAGATTAGTAGCTTTCTTCAAAGTTCTTTTGGGAACAGGCTTTGATGAAAAACAGCAATTGAAGCAGTTGAGCAGGAGCAAGCAGAATGTTGGAACATGCAAGATACTGGAACATATATGTCAATGTCTCAGCATGCTGAAGAATGAATCTTATCAGGTTTGATCCAGCATCTTTGGTGTTCATTTCTTTTGTTCTGTAAATATATAATTTCTAACAAGCATTACAGAGTTCTAAAATTATAAATGTATGAGATGTGCAGGATGAAACTAAACTTTAAGCCAATTTTATCTATGCAATTAAAAGATTAGCATAATACATTTTGAGGATATCATAGCCAAGGATTTATTGGCCAAGTATTGTTGGCATTCTGGAGACATATTTTATGTCTCAGTCAGCTTTAGAGTTGTTCCCATGTAAAGGTATCAGCAATATAAGTTACCATTATTATTAAACATATGATCATCATTGAACATTGAACATTGAACATCATCAACATTATTGAACATTTTGATCATTGAAATCAAAAGAAGGTTGGATAGATCAAAATATCTTTTTGGGCTCTTGCATGCCTGTTGTATTAGGCCAAGCTACTATCTTTTTAGAGAAGCCTCCCATTAGAGAGACAAGCTGGTTGCCATGAGCAATAGAAAATGCATGTTTTAAGTAAACTTTATATAAACTCCTTTTTAATTTAGAATATAAGCATACCGCAGGTATCTTGTGCCTGTTTTGAGGTTTAGCCCTAGATTTTTATATATGTTTTAGCTATTTGTCCTATCCCTTTTTTTATATAGACTGGGTAGTTATGCCCATATAGCCAAACTTTATTTAAACTCCCTCTTACCTTTAGCATTTAAGCATACCCTAGACATCTTGTACCTGGGCTTTACATTGATAGTGCTTATTTTTTGGCTTGCCCCTTTTTTTTATACAGGATGGAAGGTTATGCCTTTATAGCTGAACTTTATATAAACTCTCTTAGCATTAGCATATAAACTGTCTTACCCTT